GCGGTTCTCGAACCCGTGGGCTCAAACAATCCACTCACCTCAGCTTCCCAAGGCATGGGATTACAGGCTGAGCCACCGAGCCTGGCTCAATTTCATCACTTTCAGAGGTCATAGAATGTACTTACACAAACCTAGACAGTATACTGCTACTATACACCTGGGCAATATGGTGTAGCCTGTTGCCCAGAGACTCTGAATCTGTACAGCATGTTACTGTACTGAATACTGTAGGCAGTCGTACCACAAGGGTAAGTATTGGTATATCTCTGCATAAAGGAATACAGTATTATAAATTTAGGGGACCATGGTCGTATATGGTCCATTGTTGACCAAAACATCATTATGTGCTGCATTACTGACTAGTGGATGTCTGGTGACCTCACATTTTAAACTTTTGGCAATTGCCCCATTTCTCGCTTTTTCACATGTTTTTCATCCGCCTAGCTCTTTCCCCAAGGGATTAGAGAGGAAAAAGTTTCCAAAGACCATGCCAGTTTCCTTTCTTTGGTGTTCTGTACTAAGAATCTTTAATCTACTGTATTTGATAGATTCGTGTGCAGAAATTTGATTAGTTTGAGAGGATAATCAGTAAACGAATGGAAGTTGTGGTTTTGCTGTCTTTTGGTCGTTAGCTTGGCCCTTGTTTAAACGTTCAGCAACAGATAGGAAAAGCCTGCCTCAAATAAATAAAGTGGTACGTGTGCTAAAGAAAAATAAAGCCAGATAAGGGGATAAAGAGTTGTAAAAGGAGGGGATGTTGGGTATGGTGGGCAGTCTCTGAGGAATAGCCCTGACCCAAGACCTGAAATGAAGTCAGTAGCAAGCCACGGGAGTTGGGGGCAGAGCTGTCCACTGAGGTTGGATGCATTGGACCCTCTCTTGCAGGCCCTTCCTCTACTCTCCCTGTTTCTCTCTTTTTGTTGTCATTATTGAGAAAGCAGGAACTATTGAGAGGACAGGAAGGCTTCCAGAGCGGGAGGGGGCCCGAGGGGTTGCCAGTCTGGGGCCAAAACTTGGTCCTTATAGAGCCCTAAGATTGAGCTCATTGGCTAGCACTAGCTGTGAGCTGATTGGCTGGTTTTCAATCTCAGCAGCAGGAAGTACCCCCCCCTTGAATCTCACGCTATTACCCAAACTGGAGGGCAATGGCACACTCATGGCCCTGGCAACCTCCACCTGCTGGGCTCCCATGAGCCTTCTGCCTCACCCTTCCAAGTAGCCGGAACTACAGGTGTGTGCCACTACGCCCAGCTAATTTTTTGATTTACTGTAGAGACACGTTCCCACCAAGCTGCCCAGGCTGGTCTCGCCCGTGGGCTCAGACAATCCCCCCTCACCTTGGCCTCCCAAAGTGCTGGGATTATAGGCTCAGCCACCATGCCCAGCCTACTCTCCCCCTTTCAATCATAATGTCCCCCTTCTAGCCCAGATCATAATTCTACCACTGAATTTTTTTTTTTTTGAGTTGGAGTCTCACTCTGCCATCCAGACCGGCACACTCATGGCCACCACAGCCTTGACCTGCTGGACTCAGGCGATCCATCCATCTCGACCTTCCTGGTAGCTGGAACTACAGGCATGCACCACCACACACAGCTAATTTTTGGTTTATTGTAGAGACAAGGTCTCACCAGGTTGCTCAGGCTGTTCTCTCTCGTCTTGACTTCCCAAAGTGCTGGAATTACAGGCATGAGCCTCTGCGCCTGACTTTACTGTTGATTTTGATGCTGAGTTCAGGGCTTTCGATAATATTGTGCAGTTTGTGCATTGTGCACTGCTCACATGTGTTGTCTTTGTAGGTTTGGAGATTTCTTATTGGCAGTAGTGGGAGACTGCCTGGGGAAGGGGGCACACCTCATCAACAAGGGTACCTGCACAATGAATATTTGTATACCTAGCCCTGAATTGTACCCTACAATTTTAAAATTTAAAAAAAAAAAAGTTTCTTATGACAGTTTTCCAGCAGGTGGCAGTAACGTTCACTAGGATAGGGTGGCTTTTTCTAATTTCCACAAAGGTAGAAATTTCTAATTTGCATTTAGGCACATATCTTCCTTATTCCCCTTTTCGTCTCTGAAACGTGAAGATCCTTTTCTCTCTGGGCCCCAGATTTCTCCTCTAAGCCTTTCTTTTTTTCTCTTTCTGACTGTCTGCAAATACATAGAAGAATCACAAGCCCAGTACAAGAAACTTCCGCATCAGCTTCGCCCTGGCTCACCAGTTGCTAACATTTGTCCACATGTGCTTTATCATTCCCGCCCTCTCTGTAAAGACATTTGTGTTTTCCTGCACCATTTAAGAATCGGTTGAGAACATTCTACCTCTTTACCCCTTGTTTGTAGGGTATTTCCTTTGAACAGGAACATTTTTGTTATTTGTCTTAATTTTCTTTTTTTGAGTTGGAGTCTCTGTCGCCCCGGCTGGAGTACAGTGGCTCACTCACAGCCACTGCAGCTTCAACCTGCTGGGCTCAGGAGATCCTTCCGCCTCAGCCTCCCAAATAGCTGGAACCACAGGTGCACACCACCACACTCGGCTAGTTTTTGGATGTAGAGATGAGGTCTCACCAAGTTGCCCAGGCTGGTCTTGAACCGGCAGGCCCAGGCAGTCCTCTCACCTTGGCCTCCCAAAGTGCTGGGATTATAGGTGTGAGCCACCACGCAAAGCAGTTAGGGAAATTTAACAATAATTTAGGAAATTTAACATAGATAACAGTACTTGCATCAGTTATACAGCCCACATTCAAATTTCAACCATTGTCCCAGTGATATCTTTATAGCTGTTGTTACCTCCTTATCCAAAGTCCAGTCTAGGATTATACTTTGTGTTGTCATGTCTCCTGACTCTCCTTTAATCTGAGAATTAGGATTCAGAGAATTAAGTTCCTCAGCCTTTTTTGCTCTTGCACACCATTAATATTTTGAAGAATACAGGCCAGTTTTGCTTTTTTGGGGTTGGAGTCTCACTCTGTCACCCAGGCTGGAGTGCAGTGGCACGGTCACAGCTCACCGCAGCCTAGACCTTCTGGGCTCCGGCATTTCCTCTGCCTCAGCCTCCTGAGTAGCTGAGACTACAGGCACATGCCACCATGCTCAGCTCATTTTTTTAAATTTTTAATTTTTTTTGTAGAGAGGAGATCTTGCTGTGTTGCCCAGGCTTGTCTTGAACTCCTGGCCTCAAGCAATTCTCCTGCCTTGGCCTCCCAAAGTGCTGGAGTTATAGGCGTGAGCCACCAAGCTCAACCAGGCCAGCTGTTTTATAGATTATTTCTCAATCTGAGTTTGTCTGGTATTTTCTCATTAGATTCGGGTTACATGTTATGAGTAGGAATGTTGTTGACATGATGTCGTGTCCCTCCCAGTGCATTTCATCCGGAGGCACGTGATACTAGTTTGTTACACTACTGGTGATGTTGAACCTCTAAGCGTTCTGTGTTGAAACTGGTCTTGTAGCAATATGAACTCTGACCCATACATACTTGGACTCTGACTGTAGGAATTCTCCTGCATTTATCTTCTTAAGTAGACAGCATTCTGTGCATTTCTCCTATTCAGGCTTTCCTTTATACCGTCCCTCTGGTTCTCTCTTCCCACCAGGAATCATAATACCTCTTAGTTCTAGGAAGTCACATCCCTTAGCCAGAATCTCTGAACCAGTGTGTACTACTTTACTTCTTTACAATCAGCATGGTTTTACTGGTTGTTGTTTTTTTTTTTAACTCAAGTTAAGTTTCTTTGGCCTTCGCAAGGTTAGGCTTCAGAGAAATGATTTCAGGAGAGATTGTCTACCTGAATATAGGTTCATTTTATCTCAAATCACAGTCTAGTCTTTTGGGCTAGCCTTATTTAGATTATAGTGAAAGTTGACTGTGTGTCGGTTACAATGCTGAGCATTCTGTGTTTTAGCCTTCTGCACTCCCTCCAACAACTCTAGGAAGCAGATGCCACTTTCTTCGTTTTCCAGATGCAGAAATGGAGGCTTGGAGAGATTTAAGTAATGTGTTTAAGATGACTGGGACTCAGACTGTCTCTCAGCTCCAAAGCCCTTGATCTTCTTTGTGAGCAAAAGAGTGACTGGGAGGAAAGTCCAGGGAGGGCTGTGAGTGGTGAAATCAGTTTTCAAGGATTGGAAATGAAAGAACAGTGCCATTGCTAGACTAGAGGTATCTGCCAGCAGCTGCCATTCCAAGTGTTGGGGTCTTTAAGTGAAAGAACTTAGACTTTCCCAGTGTGGACGTCTGCAATCGTAAGGCCCGGTTTATACCCATTTCCTGACCTCATTATGAATAGTGCCCCATTCACTTTTAAAAGTATTGTAGTTTGGATAGATACATGGTCCCCTCTCCATAAACCTTCCTGAGTTCTTTTCAGATTAATGTACAGACTGGTGTTTCATTGCAAGTAGCACTCATAAAGCTTGGTCTGTTTTCATTTACCCTTTCTTTGCCCCTGTCCCAAGTTGTACATTTCAAGATAGCTTTGGCTTTGTGGTCTATTCACCTGACTAATTTATAGGCAGGGTTTGCTTAATTAAGTCAACCGTGAACACGGTTTTGCCCTACTTGCTTTATCATTCTTTTTGCAGATCATTTAAGGTAAATGATACTTTACCCCAGTGTACTTCCATAGCTGAAATAAGCTCATAAACCTTTCTTGAAACATATTTGGAATAGTGGAGGAACCTTTTGCATAATTTGATTTTCATTTACAAGATGGTGTTAGAGCCAAATGTGGTGGCACGCACTTGTAGTCCCAGCTGCTCAGGAGGTTGAAGCAGGAAGATCACTTGAACCCAGGAGTTTGAGGCCAGAAATATATACATATGTGTGTGTGTGTGTGTGTGTATATATATATATATATATATATATATATATATATGGGTTTTTTTTCCTTAAAGTGGGGTATACCTGTATTTGTATGCTAGTGTGAGGCTCCACAGATCATGCAAGTCACAGTGGCTGTGATCATTCTTATAACCTATATTCCCTTTTCTTCTGACAGTGCACGATCTGATTTTCTGGCGAGATGTGAAGAAGACGGGGTTTGTCTTTGGCACCACACTGATCATGCTGCTTTCCCTGGCAGCTTTCAGTGTCATCAGTGTGATTTCTTACCTCATCCTGGCTCTTCTCTCTGTCACCATCAGCTTCAGGGTCTACAAGTCTGTTATCCAAGCTGTACAGAAGTCAGAAGAAGGCCATCCGTTCAAGTGAGTTAAAGTTTTGTGAGCAACATTCTACACGTTGGTGGGGGGTTCACGGAGGCTGATCAGATCTAAAAATCAGAGCTGACTAAATATCAAGAATTATGGGCCATAAGGCAGCTGAGGGGTGGCCTAAACATCAGCTAGAGACCTTGGGAGCTCTGTAAGCAGCGGTCAGGTTAGAAGCCAATAACTTTTTGACAAACTAGAGGCTTATACTTGAGGTCCAGAGAAGACACTAAATTCTTCTTTAGAGCAGGGTAGGGAAGGCCCAGCACCTAGAGCAGCCCCCAGGCAGTTAAGTTCTGAAATGTGGTGTTGAGGCTATGCCTTTGGAAATCCAGAGCTCTGTTTACTCTTGGTTTTGTTACTGCTTTCCTTCTTATCTCTCTCTCAGTTTATACCAGAGGCATGTCTTAATGAACTCAATAGTCATGCGTTTCTAGGCTGCAATTGCTAGCTTTTCTGATTGGGCTTTAACTATTTGTTGGTTGATTGGTTCGTTTGTTTATTTTTGAGTCAGAATCTCACTCTGTCACCCAGACTGGAGTGCGGTGGCACAGTCACAGCTACTGCAGCCTCAACCTGCTGGGCTCATGCAATCCTTCTGCCTCAGCCTTCCAAGTAACTGAGACTACAGGTGTGCGCCACCATGCCCAGCTAATTTTTTGATTTATTGTAGGGATGAGGTCTTGCCAAGTTGCCCTGTGCTGACTCAAACCCCTAGGCTTAGGCAATCTCCTCACCTCCACCTCCCAAAGTGCTGAGATTACAGGCGTGAGCCACTGCACCCAGCTGAACTTTAACGTTTTCTTCACACTTTTCTCTTGAGATTCTTAGCACATAAAAATGTTTAGCTTCAACATTAGCATACCACAGTTTTTTAAAAATTTGTTTCTCATAGAGAAAGAGACCCTGCTGTGACCTCTCAGGATGACAACAGTTTAGGCTCCTGGCTGCAGCTCTGCTCCTTGTATTTTCTCTTGGAGAAAAGAAAAGGAATCACTTAAACTATATGTAGCATTAAAAGTTTTGTTGCAAATTAGTTTTGGGTTTTTTTGTTGTTGTTTTTTTTTAATTGGAGTCTCACTCCATCGCCCAGACTGAAGTTCAGTGGCATGCTCCCGGCCACCGCAGCCTCGACCTGCTGGGCTCTGGCGATTCTTCCGCCTCAACCTTCCAAGTAGCTGGAACTACAGGCGTGCGCTACCACACCCGGCTAATTTTTGATTTATTGTAGAGATGAAGTCTCACCAAGTTGCCCGGGTGGGTCTCAAACCCACAGGCTCAGGCAATCCACTCATCTCGGCCTCCCAAAGTGCTGGGATTACAAACTGAGCTACCGAGCCCGGCCGCAAATTAGTTTTAATTAATCAATAGTTGTTGAATGAATGAATAAATTTTACTGTTTTGCAACAAACTCAGATTTCTTAACAGTTTTCCTCCCTCTTTTGCATGACATTATATGTGGACTTATAAAATGCATTTTGCTAAGTTGTATTAATTATAGCATCTAGTTTTTATAGCTTTTATGTTAGATAGTAAATATTATCTTAATAGGTAGAAAGGAAAGCATCCCTATTACTCTCCTGCTTTCCCCACAATACTGAAGGCTTCTAAGGCAGGAGTTGTCTTATCTGTCCTGACATCCCAGCACCTGGCTGGCAGAGTGTCTGGTAGACAGTAGGCATGCAGTAAATATTGAGTGAATGCACAAGTGATGAGCACCTGTCTTCTGTGGTTTTAAGCTCTATCAGATTTGATATCTTCACTCTCTTTTTTTGCTTTTGGGTTTTTTTAAACTAGGTAAAGGATGCTAATTTGTTTTCTTTTTAAACAAATGTTTTATAATGCCTTCTTGATTGTTTTGAAATGGAATTTACAGATAATATAATCTGTCTGCAAATATAACTTTCAAAAAAATAAGTCATGGAGCCAGGAATGGTGGCAACACTTTGTAGTACCAGCTGCTCAGGAGGCTGAGGCAGGACAGTCGCTTGAGGCCAGGAGTTTAAGGCTGCAGTGAGCTATGATCATGGCTGTAAATAGCCACTACATGCCTGTCTTGGCAGTATAGTGAGACTTCATCTCTAAAAGGAAATTTTTTTTTTTTTTTTTTTTTGAATCGGAGTCTCACTCTGTCGCCCAGACTGGAGTGCAGTGGCACACTCCCGGCCACAGCAACCTCGACCTATTGGGCTTTAGCAGTCCTTCCACCTCAGCCTTCCAAGTAGCTGAAACTACAGGTGTGCACTACCATGCTCAGCTAATTTTTTTGATTTCTTGTAGAGATGAAGTCTGGCCAAGTTGCCCAGGTGGGTCTCAAACCCGCGGGCTCAGACAATCCACTCACCTCAGCCTCCCAAAGCGCGGGATTACAGTCTGAGCTACCGAGCTGGCTTCTAAAAGGATTTTTTAAAAATTTTTTTAATAGATCATAGCAGTAATATTAAGATGTGATAAGATAGAAAGCCATTTGTAGCTGGGCTCTGTGGCTCAGCCTGTAATCCCACACCTTTGGGAGGCTGAGGTGAGTGGATTGCCTGAACCCGCAGGTTCGAGACCCGCCTGGGCAGGTGAGACCTCATCTCTACAATAAATCAAAAAAATTAGCTGAGCGTGGTAGCGTGCGCCTGTAGTTCCAGCTACTTGGAAGGCTGAGGCGGAAGGATCACCGGAGCCCAGCAGGTCGAGGCTGTGGTGGCCAGGAGCGGCCACCGCATGCCAGTCTGGGCGACAGTGAGACTCCAACTCAAAAAAAAGAAAGCCATTTATAATAAAGTAGTGTGTATTTCGGTCAGAATTTAATTGCTTGGCCATGACTACACTAAAAAGCATAAGAAGTCAGATACTTGGACCTACCTGTACAATCACCAATACGGATGTAGTTTTCCAAACTTGCAGAAAAAAAATTAGTAAAGTTTTAGCAAAAAGAAAATACAGTTTTAGAAAATCCAGATTACTTTAAAACTGTTGAGAAAATACCTTATTTTTATGTATCCTGGGTCATTGATTATAAATAGGTTGACTTCATGAATAGCCAATGAGGCAGTAAAGGTTATGCAGAACATACGACAGTTTTGTTTTGTTTTGTTTTGAGTTGGAGTCTCACTCTTGTCACCCAGACTGGAGTGCAGTGGCCGCTCCCGGCCA